ATTTGCAGTAAATATTACACTGCAGCCAACTTAATAGATTTTGTCAGTTAAGTTTCATTTCTTCCAGTGCGTTTGGTTATAGTAAAGCTAATCGTTTTCTCAAGATTGAGTTTTCAAGCTCAGTAACAGTTCGTGCCTGAACGACACAGATGAACTAAAAATAGTACATTCCATGGGTGTGAGAAAAGTGCGAGTTCGGGAAGTTCACTCATTTGTTTTTTTAGCAAAACGGCACAAAATGCGTTCTCTTAATTATCCATTCGGAAATGAAATACTTTTTGTTGACAGGTATATCACTTCTGTTGATGTTTGGCGGAATGCTTGAGAGGAAGTTTTAAGTAAATCATAAGACAAATTCTGTTGCCTTCCTAATCCGTTTTATGTTTGAAGGATGTTGAAGGTGTTCTATACAGATGTCTTACCCTCGAAGTTTATATGTTTATAAGGTTCACGCCACTCAGATCTTACTGTGTCCTGAATTCAGCATTTAGTTCTGTTTGTTGTGCGCATGGTATTGGACGTTTCGATGTTGCCTACAGTGTGAAACGTCCAAAATTAATCATTTAATCCGCAGGATAAAGGGTTTACGGAACTTGTCTCGAACTCGAAACTTTACAGAACCTTATGACAACAACATTTGGTAGTCGACAACGAACTCAAGGTTTCTTCCACTAGCTTGCAGAAACCTGTCACCATAATAAGAGTTGTTTCGGTAGATTGACGTTAATCGGTCAGTTTAAACAAACTCCAAGATATCATTCGTCTATAGTAGCTTTTAAAGATAATTCATATGAATGGCTGTAATTAGGATGCAGTGCTTGCCGGGAATATTCCAATGAGACAAATCAACAGTGGCACAGCAAATATATGGCTGATAAAGTTGTTACTAGGTCAGCAGTAAAATCTACCCATTCGTAGAAAAAATTTAGTGGGTCTTTTCATAAAACGATGGCAATAATCTGAGACATTTCTTTTATCCATACAGCAAATTTGATCAGTTAACGATTCCAACCACCCAGAAATTTTTGAATATCAAATTTTCATATGACGGCCTTAAAAACTGTATAACCAAAGTTTGTGGAGGTAGAACGTTTAAATTTTTCAACAGTAAAGTTTCGCCCTTGATTGTGAGATCAAATTCAGAAGGCACCAGATTCCCGCAGCAGACTAGTGAGTCACAACAATTCTATTAGCTTTTATTCTCTATCACATCATCCGCATGTCAGCCGCACGGACAGAGAACACGTAGGGGACCGACGGGATTGGGAAAACCGGTTGATCGTTTCAATTGTTCTGAGCAGTTGCAGTTCGGCACTAAGGGGTTTATGAACGTTCTCTTGTTCTAGCCGGTTCATGAAAATGCCACTGCTATTAAAGCAGTGAGTGAAAGGTTACAAGCGTGAAGTCAAAATGAATTGAGTCAAAGTGGTGAAAGGTTATATATCGTTTTTTCTACATTGGTTTGATGATAGGCTGAAAACTGTCTCCTATCTAATCAAAACTGTTATGACCGTAAGAACCATTTAGACCATAATTAACACAGGGTGACGTAAACCTGGTTCGGGTAATGTTTAACTATAACCATCCCTAGATGTATTAGTGTGATCCGTAGCACAATCATGATCATCTGTGTTCGCAAAAAACTGCTTGATCTTACCGGAAAATTTCTTGTCATGGGAGATCTTTGAACTATTGGTTGTGAGTAATCATCACGTAGCCCGACTGTCTGCACATAGGAGAAACCGTAGATTACTGGAGGTCTCAGTTGATCGCGCTGCAGAGTCAGACCGAAATCATCAATTTCTATAAATCTCCCGATAAACTTTCTTAGAATACCGATGAATAATAGGGGGTTTAGTTAATTTCCCCAACTAAGTAAATCAATAATCTGAAGTATTTATACCAGATCTAGTTGAGCAGGAGATATGACCCTCATCGGGAAATCTCAATTTCTGGATTACCGACGGGAATTAATTAATTTTAACAGATTAGCTTGTCCATTTACTAAATGCATTCACCCGTCGACAATAACCATTTCAGGTAGGCTTTGCCTAACGTCCACTATGACCCTGTGCTTAGCAGTGATGTCCAGAATGAAACTTGTAGCACTCCTGAGGTTATTACTAGTCACTATCATTCATGGGCAAGAGGACGGCCATCAAGCTAAGAAAAAATGCATTCAATTTCTTGGCTCTCAGCATAAGTTAGTTTGCTGACAAGAACGATATACATGAGCCGGCAAACTGACTCTGGACAAAATATATAATCGACAATCCGATATACGAAGGTTTTATGATCCAATTAATGGGATTGAGCATCAACAACCCAGTCTGGAATTTTTTGCACCGATTATAGCGGAAACTGGGCCTGGAAAACCTAGGAGCTGGAGTAGTATACATAACTGCGCTATTTCCAATTTCTGATTGCAGTCCATTTTTGACAACTTAGTTGAACTCGCCAGCGACCACCACAAGGGTGCAAAATAATTATCACCGAGGAAGAGTGTGTTCACAGAGAAGACGAGTCCGCCAGGAAAGCAGTCATAATAACTATTCGAACGCAGTATGGTTCGACTGATGTCCGGAGGTTACATTTGTAATTGCCCAATTATCAGAGGGTGTAGAAGACTGACTAAAGTGAACGGCCAGCGAGAAGGTGGACACTCCAAAAAATGTGTAACTTTTGATGGCAAGGAGTCGCTGTGAAGACTCCAGCCGAGACGGATATCACATCAAGGTCGACGTACTGTACGGCGGACCATAATACCTGCTCACATTGACTACCTATCTGAAACGACCAGGTTATCAGATTGAGAATGGTGGCCACTTCGAGGGAGTCTTGTCATATCAACTATACAGCTTGGTCACTAAAACCACATTTACATAAATGATCATAATGTTTAATCCAGTGGACGGATCTTGGCTTCATTATTGGAGCAAATTGCTTCGTACAAAAAACTGCGCAGCTTTAACGACGTACAAAGTACGTCAAAGTATGCGAGCATGTCAAACTGGTTGTTCGGCGAATCCATCTATCGGCAACGTTAACTCTTCCTCTCCGTACAAAATAACCTGTGAACCATACGGCGTTTGTGCCGTACCAGTCCAGTAGTATACAATCCGTTTTCTCTTGCTTGTTTGGTTCATTATTCTGTCAATCCTGCGTCTCAGTATTACGCAGCATACAAACTAAAGACGGTCAAACAAGTTTTTACATGGCGATAAATATGGATTGACTGCCGACATAAAGTGCAAACAGAATCTACAAGGGAGTGCTTGAATTCTGATAAACGGCAACGTTCAGTTTGACTGCCGAAATTATAATTTAAAAAAATACTGTTGGCTGAAAATTTACAGAAAGGAATGAATTACTAGGACAGGTTCAAGAAATGATGAAAAATCTGATACAAATTGCGGGTGAGTCGATTTTGACTTCGTTTGTAAGGTTTAGAAACATGTAGATGAGTTTTGAGCCACCGAACACTGAACTCACAGAAAGGTACAGAGCCATTCGGAAAACTTGAAAATGATACTTCAAATGGATAACTCGGAACTTAAAAAACCATAGTGAAGAGGTTACTACAGTTTTTGTTGAAATGTCTTTAACGTGAGAAAAAACGGAGTAATACCTTAAGCAGTCTGTTCGTTTCACACATTTGCCAACTTTACACGTAGATGGCTTTGGTCCTATGTTGGGGTCAATTAGCTAAGTGAAATGTTTTATCCTGTAATGTTTATATTACTCGCTTTTTTGTAGTGGCTTGTTTCAGCAAACCTGGGGGGAACCGAAAAAGAACTCAATGTTTTCTGCAAGAATAGAACTGTCGAAAAATTGATATTACGAGAAGAAGCGAGTAGCAAACAAGCTCGTTTTCAGTGTTCCATCATCAGGCTAAATACAACACATTTAGATGGGTCCGACATGGGTAGTACATCAATAGGGTGAGGGATGGTAATTATTAATGTCAAGTTAGTCAGACTCATCAAGTGTTTTGGCAGATAGGTGCTCCTACGTAACAGATCGATCCGGGTTATTGATGCATGGCCACGGGAGGTTCAATGCTTTGATTCATCTGCCAAGCAGATAATGTCGTCTACATAACGTTTATAAAGAGCTAATGACTATATATGATCTGTGTTTACCGTTTTGTTTGTTTCTGTGAAACAAGCTACATAGGCCGCACAACAAGG